ATATACCAAAAATAGAAAATGAATAATAATAAAATTGTTTTCAATAAATGATCACACCGTCTTAGCCGATTAGAAATATATAGGTTTTATGTTTATATTTGTATTTGTATATTGGTTTCGTTTGCAATGGAACGTTGTATCTTACACATTGTATATATTTTTCTTTTTAATCTTTAATAAAGTTTATTTTAATTTTGAAAAACAAAACTAAAGGAATGATGAACAAAGAGGTAATCAGGAAAAATCATTCCCCCAAATCATCAATAGTATCAGAGCACAGGGTAGGCTGCTACTATTGGAATATGCTCTGGATCCAAGTCAGTAAAAAATTCCACAAAACTGAAAGTCCTATTCTACATGGGTTTGCATATCCCAGAAGGAGCACATTCACAGTTTGGGGATGCTTTTAAATGTGATCCTTCCTCTGGTTTCTCAGACTGAGACAGGTGTGCTTGTGTTGGTATTTTCATTAATATAATACCCTCTTTGGGGAGTTGTCTTTGTGTCTGATCCAGAAATGCTGGAGGCACAGTGGCTGTTCAGCATTTGAGGAATTGCTTTCTTTGTTGACCTTTAAAAATATTTTTTAAAAACAAAATTTAAAACTTCAGAAAGTTGTTTATTTAATTTTTAAATTCTTTTCTGCTTTGTTGTAACAAGTGAGAATGTTTTATATATAAGCATCTAATATAATAATGTTACCAGGAGCCCTTATGGTGAGTTGTGATTCAGAAATTCAGCATTTTTATTGTAGAGTTAAAAACATTTGTCCTTGCAGATTGCAAAGTTACGTCAGCAACTGCAAAGAAGCAAACACAGCAGCAGACACCATCGTGATAAAGAAAGACAGTCTCCATTTCATGGTAATCATGCAGCTATTAACCAGTGCCAGGTAAGATGAGCTCTAAATGTAAGATTTGTAAAAGTTATTGCCAAGGAAGTTCAATGTATTTCAGGCACTGACTTGCCAAAAACAATGTCTGAAAGCTGCTAGCATTACAGGAGGAAGAGAACATACTAGGGAATATTGTTTCCACTTCAATTGATTTGAACAACTTGAAAATAGTTACAAAGCCCCTCTAAAATATTTTACTTTAGGTATTTGAGAGCGGTTGATATCTAGTTCTGGGTACAGTTAGAGAAAATAGATTCTTTTTTGCACAAATGAATGATCTTTACTAGGAAATGAATGGTTCGTTGCTCTTGCTGCCATTTAACGAAGACTTCTGTGATTTGGGAATAAAAAGTGCTATTTTACAGTGGTGCCATTTGTACCTACAAGGTGTATCACAGTGAGTTACATTGGAGGAACTAAATCTTGGCAACTATGACAGGAACTACTGTAAGGTACCTTCTTGTTTGTAATGCAAATCAAATTTAATATCTTTTCTAATATCTTCAGGGCTCTTTAATCAAATCTGAGTATATTTTTGGATTGTTGTTTTCTCTATTGATAGTTGATTCTAAAAGGTAGAAGCTGTTCACCACTTTGATATATTTGTTGTCAGTTCTGTGGTTGCTATCATTAGTTTGGTTTTCTTTTAAGTCCCATTTTTTACTATTCATTGATGACTTTTATCACCAGAGCCAGCAAATACTTTGTATTACAGCTATAAGAGTAGTGTCATAAGCATAGTGCTTATTGATGATTTTTTCTCTACTTTCAAAACCTCACTCATCTTCTTTTTATCCAATTTCCATTAACATATATCCTCCATATAGTTTGATTAAAGAAGAAGAGACTAGACAACTTGAACTTCCTTCTTGGCCAACCCAGCCTGTTTCCCATGTTCTGTCTATGATGTATTGTAGTTTCCTGTTTTGTATTCAGGCAGTCTTCAAACTAATAGAAAATACTTGTAGCTCAGGTTTTAGATTTTGGCAGTGATTTATTTCAATTTAGTTTCTGAATGTTACCAGACTAGATAACATCATCAGCAGGATTTTCTTCTCCTATTCTCCTTAGTTTATGTGTGCCTTGTGTGTGCCTAGTTTGGTCAGTTGATTGTGTGATTGGTTGTTTGTTTGGAGATGTATTTAAATTCTGAGCAGCTGATTGGTTCTCTTGTTGATTAGTTGTTCAAGTTGCAATTGTAATACTGCTTCTGCTCTCTTTTTACAGTTCCCTGAAGCTTTGTTATTTTTTTTCCTGATATTTTTATTTTTCTTGGTTTTGACTTTGTGGCAACCAATCTCAAAGCACCAGGGATCTCACTGTATTTTATAGTTTGGGAAAAAGTTAATAGTTGAATACTGTCCTTGCTATCATTTCTTGATATGTGGTATTAAAGTAAAAGAAGTAGAATAATTATGTTTTAAGTCTTGACAACTGGTTGTTTAGTGATCGATGCTTCCTTTGAGCCTCCAGCAGATACTTACACCTTTGACAGAAATATATAAATTTGGGTTGAAATGCCAAAGCAAAACTCTGTACTCTAATTCTTCATAATGCACTTCATTATGATGTGTATCTTGCATCTCCATAATAAAAGATCTGGAACTGTAGATGCTATGAAAGTGCTGATGGAGATCAAGCATTTTCATTTCATTAAACTGAAACTAAATTGAAATTAAACTAAACTGAAATTCTGAACTAAATTGACTGTTATGTTTGCGATTTATCTGTTCCAAAGCTTTTTGAAGTATTAATCCAAGTGGCAGCTTTGGAAGCCATATTCCATGCTGCCACATAGCCTGAGAAAGTGGGAGGGGGGTTATTTCAATTAAGTAGCTGTAATAGACAAAATTATTTTGTTAGTTGAAGGTCATTTAGTATGGCACAGTATGAAATAAGGATCTTACTTTTGGACGGATGATGATTGGGCCATGTGATGTGATGGCGGCCAAGGCGGGGTGGATTTGGAGTTTGGGAAATTGTGGAAAGCCCAAAAAACGTTAGATTCGGGATTCCACAGATGTGCCAGGTGCTATTCTAATAAAGGTATTTTTGAGATACATTTGTCTCTGGGTTACTGATTGGAATGGAGGTTTGCTGGAACACTGACATCAAGAGATATTTTCATTTCCTCTTCACATTTCTAGTTCTGGTTCTTTTTTAAAAAAATAGCTAAAAACATCCAGGAAAACAGCTGAGCAGCGTTTTTAAAACTTAATATTTTAATTGTTTGGGTTCTTCCTGTTCTGTCTGTGTCAGAATGGTAGCTTGAATACAATAGATCGGGGGTGTCAAACTCGCATTGTCATGGTGTTGTCACATGACACAACTTTTTTCTCTTTCATTAAACTGGTTATGGGTGTGGCCAGTGTGTGATGCATCCAGCCTGTGGGCCGCGAGTTTGACAGCCCTGCAATAGATCAATTGAATGAAGTATGGATACTGTTATATATCTATACTTCTATGCAGGATTCAAGGAACAAGGATTATAAATACAAAAATGTGCAATTATAAAATAGTACATATCATCTAAAATTCTCCAAATAAACCAGATGCATTTTGTCATTATAATAAAATCTTACAGATAATTTGATTTTCTTTCTACATTATATGATATAACCCTCATTTTCTGTTGCCTCTGTTGGGTTTTCAGGCTCCAGTCCCAAAGAGCATGCTGGTTCCTGTGATACCAATAGCTAAGTCAAGTGGATCCCGTTTCCGTAATAGCATAGAAGGGCTGAATCAGGAGATTGAAATAATTATAAAAGAGACTGGAGAGAAAGAGGAACAGCTTATTGTGAGTATATTTGTAGTCAAACAGGCCTTCAGATAAGGAGAGCCAAATCTGTCATGCCCATATATAAGCACACTCTGTATACATGAGCATATGGAGTATGAAAGATAAGCTTTCATCTTGTAACTGTTACACTGAAATCTGTCTGGGGAAAATATAATATTTAGAATTATGACATTCAGCATCTACAAACAAAGCATCATGCCTGCATATCAGTTTTTTATCACTACCCCTGCTTCATGTTGTCTTTACCCTTTAATCCAGATTTCTCTGAAATCGTAGTTGTCTAAACTCAGGAACTGTATTAATGTCAGTAATAATATAATCTTAAACCAGAATTAGGTCTTTATTTCTAGTTAACACACTTACATTGAGCCTTGTTTTCTTCTGGAACGTAAGGAGGAACAGTGGTTGCATATGTGCATGAACTGGAGCTCCAAAGCTCTGAAAGGCTTCTTTATGTATCCTTCTTACGTTTAGTTTGGTTCCCTTTTTTTTCTTGGGAACCTGAAGAACAACTGATTTTCAGTTGAAGAGATTTATTGGCAAAGCAATAAAATCATCTTTATTTTTCATTTATTAAAGTCACCAGACAAGATTAATAGTGTGTAGCATGTAAGATGTATGTAATATGTTTTTGTTCAATAGCCACAAGATATTCCAGATGGGCATCGAGCACCACCTCCTTTAGTGCAGCGTAGCAGCAGTACTCGCAGCATTGACACACAGACTCCGGGTGGAGCAGACAAAGGCAGTAACAACAGCAGCCGATCTCAGTCTATTTCCCCAAGCTCCTTCCTTGCTATCTCCAATGAGGGCAGTGAGGAGAGCCCTTGCTCTGCAGATGACCTGCTTATGGATCCCAGAGATAAAGGTATTTTCTGAAAAGTATTCCAATGCTTTCCTTAGAGGGGAACCTCTAGGATTCACCTTTCAGTTAAGAAACATTGTTTCCTAGATATTTGAGTTACAGGCCAAAATTCACAGCATCTTTTGTCAGTTCAGGCAAGGTATTTATCACCTGCCAAAGGGAAGCTCAACTTTGAGTCATATCATAAACCACTTTTTAAAATGTTTGCAGTTACCCTGTGCTGAGTGAGAATTTTAAGCAATGGGCTAATAAAACTACTTTTTTCATTTTGGTGGGGGTGGGGGGGAAAGGGAGATGGGGGAATAGTTTCTTCTCCATTATTACAAGTGGGAAAAAATGTATTATTTTGGTTGGGTTTTTGGGGCAATCATTCTTTTGTTGCCCACCAGTTTATTTTTATATTTTCTTTTTTGTACTTAATGGAGGTATATAAATGTTTAAAAATAATTCATATAGGATGTTGATCATTTTTATTTGTTTTTATTTAACATGCATATACATATCTAGGTAGACTCAAGGAACTGAGGAAGGGAGATGGAGGGGGTCATAGAAAATTGTAATTTAAAACACATTTTTAAAGCAAATGAGTCAGTGCCTGCCACTTGGATAGCAATGCCTTTGTAGTGTTAAAGGCTGCCAAAGGTAATAGTTTAGCTGTTATATGTTAATGAGCAAAATGCCTACATAGGTACAATAGATCTGTGCTTTTCAGCAGTCTGAACTTGACTAATGATCAATAATTATTTAGGTGATCACCCAAAACATCTGAAGAGTACCAGGTTGCTTTTTTATGTATAACAAAAACCATGCAGACAGTAAGAAACTGTTTTAAGACAGTTGATCAGGCTTTTGTTTTCCTTTTAACATTGTTCATAAAGGAGTATGAGAAAAGCAAAAAATATTCCACCCATGTTATGATATATGTATATGTAACTGGCCCTTTGCTCACCACAGAGAATGGAAACAATTCTCCTCTGCCCAAATATGCTACATCACCAAAACCTAACAATAGCTATATGTTCAAACGTGAACCTCCTGAAGGCTGTGAGAAAGTCAAAGTGTTTGAGGAAAGCTTGTAAGTTGTTATGTTACTTCATAATTTTTTGAATCATAGTATCTTAACTAGTTTCTAAATTTCTAAATTTGATGGTATAGCTTTATACTTAATATTTCTTACTTTTGGGGGTAAAGGCGAACATATCTATACGTTTAACTTTATGTTTGTTTTTTGGGGGGTGGTTATAATTATTTAAAGCAGTTCCTAGACCACTTTTGAGAAAGCAGAAATCATTCCCCCCTGCTATTCATATGCATTTTGCAAAAATGTACTGACAAAAATGTCTTTTGAACATTTCCCCTTTTTTTGATATCTGCTGAAAACCTAAACCAGTGTTTCCCATCCTTGGCAACTTCCTGGTACGTGTACATCAACCCCCAAAATTCTCAGTGGCCATGTTAGCTATGGATTTGGGGGATTTTTAAATCGACACACCTGGAAGTTGCCAAGGAACTATACCCCTTTGGATTTAAAGTGCCAATTCAGAGCTTTCTGCATGCACTTTCTATGGGAGGCTGTGACCCAATAGAAAGGTGACAGCTAAGAACAAGATATTCAGTACTGGCCCTGTTAGAATCAAGGGGTAGTCAATTTTAATTTCTTTAGGGTTAGAGAGGAAAAAGATAAAAGTAGTCCTCAACTTAATGATAATTCATTCAGCAACTGTTCAAAGTTACAGCAGTGTTAAATGAAGGAATTTACAACTGGTCCTTGAAATACAGCCGTTGCAGCGTTCCCATGGTCATGTAATCAAAATTTAATCGGCCTTCCCATGTTTATGATTGCAGTGCTTCAAGTCAATCCTTTCCTATCTCCCTCCCATTTATGCCTTTTTGGCTCCTACATTCTTCAGCCTCTATCAGCCCAGCTGACCTTCGCCATCTTGCTCCTGCTACTGACCTGGCCTGGCCTTCCACAAGGCAGCTACTAGGCTGCACAAGGCATTCTTCCCAAGGTTGTGCATGGCAGCTTCCTTATGAGACCTGACATAGCCAGCACCTGCCTTGTAAAGAGCCAGGGTGGGCCCATGTTGTCAGTAGCAGGAGCAAGAATATAGCAAAGGTTAGATGGGGTGGTGGCGGGCAGGGGCTTTGGCAGGCAGGGTCTTCGAAAGGCAGGGTGGCAAAGGTAACTTGGCTTGGGCAGCAGAGCTGTTGGGACTTCTCAGAGTGCTGCAGCTTTGTGCCACACTATTGGAGCTTCCTGAGATTTGACTTTACACTGCACAATTGCATCACTTAGCAGCAAAAATTCTGGCCCCAATTGTGGTATTAAATGGAGGACTACTTATAGTATAAGTAACTTGTAGGGGGCATGCATAAGCGCACCAACGTGCCTACAGTCCCTGTCCTATTGTTTCTTTTTATTTTTCTTATATGTATCTATTTCATGTATTCATAACTATGTTATACCTGTTATCTTGTAAGCGATTGACAAATCAAATAAATAAATAAATAATAGACATGCCAACATGTTTTGACTACTTTGCAAATAATCAGACTGGGAGATAAAATTGCTACTATATGCAGCAGCATTTCCTCCCCTATTTGTGAACAACTCTCATTTATTTGGGACAAAAAGGGAAAAGTATTTCATGCTATGTTATACAACATACCATAAACTTTTGGTAATTCCTTGCAGCCTTTAACTTTGTTAATCTTTAACTTCCAAAAGTTAACACCCTGTGGTATTGTGTTTTTTGTTTGTTTGTAGGCCAAAACCTTTGCATGAAATTCCAGCCTTTTATTGTCCTGACAAGAATAAAGTTAACTTTATTCCTAAAAGTGGCTCTGCCTTCTGCCTTGTCAGCATTCTCAAGCCCCTTCTTCCCACACAAGATCTTACCCTCAAAGGTGCTACTCATAATCTGACCGTCACGACTGGTATGACACCCACGCTGCTGCAACCTCTTTCCATGGCGTCCCTTTCCGCAAACACAGACCAAGAGCGCCTCTCTCGTGGAACGAGCAAAGTAATATCACAGATGTCTGTGCTCCAGCAGTCAGGACATAGTGAAGAAACTGAAGGATAAGCTCCACGTGGCTAATGGAGGGGGAAGGGGATTTTATGGAAACAACTGTGATTAAACTTTCTAGATGACATCTCTTTGTATCACAACAGCTGATGGTCCTATAAACAGGTCATAGGTAGTATCTTACACACCATGCCACGAATGTCAGCCTCCGGTGAGATCTAGGAAAAAAGGAGCAGCAGAGGGCCAAATGTATTTGTCTTGGGATGGTTCAGGTGCAGACTCTGAGCATGTTGCTTTGGTACCATAAAGAAGATCTCCACAATTCCTGACAACTGGAGGGACCAATTTTTTTTCTAATACTTCTGTGCTTCAGTGTAAACTTTGAGTTTGAACAATGAAAAAGACATCCCAACTTTTCTTAGCAGAATATCTGTTTTCTGGAGAAAAAAAAGGAAATCATTAATTCATATGAAGATAGTATTTACAAATGTGCATTTTTAAGAAATTTCATCATCATCAGGATAATTGCACTTTTCTTGCTACATTTTTTTCACTGGGACCAATGGATTAAAACTTTTTCAGTATTCCGTCATCAGACCAGCTGATTTTGCTCCTTTCCCCAGATTAGTGTAACATCATTCAGACAAAAAAAAAAAAAGCAATATTGTCACACCCTGAAAGGGTTCAGAAAGGGGAAAAAGCATGCATGGAATTTCTTGTCTGAAAATAGCATTTTAGTGCACTTCAGCTAATCATGTCATGATTTATTCCTAATGTTGTATTTCAGGACATATTTCCATCCTTTTTCCCCAGAACGCCAATTAATTGTCACAACGGTGCCTCTTGGGACTACTTAGTTTTTTAAGTTACTGTCAAAATCTTGAATTGCCTTTGGCATATATACCTGATTCTATCATGTCTTGCCACTATACTATATAAACCCTATGGTCATATGATCTTAAAAGGGCCATGCATGCATGGTGGTTTTTTTGCTTGTCAAAGTACTGTTTTGTGGGTCTGTTGAGGGTAATAGTTTGTTGGGCATGATGTTGTTGAAGCAATTTATTTCAATGGACATGTCTCCTTTTGGAGTAGCAATATTGTTAGGGTGTTAAGCTAAGAATCTTTTTATGCTTTCATTGATGTGGCCCATTTCATTTTTAGTACTTTTTTTAAATGAACTATACTTATGGAAGAATTAAAGATAAGAAATTTCTGTTGTTATGTTTGCTTGTGAAAGGGTCTGAGCTAATATGGATAGAAAAGTGTATTTACCAAGCTGATTAAATGGCACAAGATAGAGCCGTTGCGGGATAGTTAGAGAGAAGTTAGAAAACAATATATTCTGGTATCTTTAAGTAAATAAAAGTATCATAGCAGTGTAACCTATTCCAGACTGGTAGGTAAATGGACATAGCAACATCAGTAATGTTTTTGATGCAATGTTAGTTGGAAATGAAGCACATCCACCTCAAGTGGATCTTCGATTTGTTTTGTTACATTAGTAATACAATATTTTAAATAATTACCCCTACATTGTTTGGATTCTTGGTTCTTGCTAAATTTAATCAACTGAGTAAAAACTTGCATTTTGATTTACCCAGATAGGTGGTTGGTTTGTCCATTTAACAACCTAGGTTCTGATGCAGGAATGTTAATGTTATTATGTAGCTGTTAGTTTTTAAAGTACCAAAACACTTCTTCGCATTCTGGTATTTCCTGGATGCATGAACATGGAGGGGAGAGCGGAGACTGCACTTAACATAGCCCCCAGCCTGACATACCAGTAGAAGCTCTAAAAGATCTGGACTTGCATGCAAGATCACATAGGTTGTTTATTGTGGTTCTACATTCTGCTGTAATCCATTCCTACAGCAAATGAGAAGTATGTGTTTTTATGGTACATGAATGTACCAGAATAAAGCTCTTCAACTTTTTTCCTGAACATAATGGAGATTTGTGAGAGTGGACATGATGTTATATGCCTAGGTCTGTTTTCTCTCCCTCGGTCCAAGCTAATGCATGAAGAGGCTGGACAGACACAACACTATCCTTCTGGAAGTCTTTTTAAAGTATTATTTGATTGCTGTTGTATTTTGATCCTATATTGTATTGCTTTATTTTTATTTCTGTTTTATTCTGTATTCAGATATTTTAGCAGAGCAAAATAGTCTTACACCCATTCCACAGTCTTAAATTTGTGGGTCATCTAGATTTACTGTATGAAACATAATGGGAGAGCTAAGTATTTCTTATTTGACTTAATGATATTTTAATTTTAGTTTAAAGCAGATGTAGGTTGTGTGAGAGAACAGTATCATGCAAAAAAGGGCATTGCTCAAACAATGTGAAGCCCCACATATTCTAGACACGTGTATGCATTCTCAAAATGTTTAATGCTCCAGCTTTATGAAACGAGAGTTGGATTATATTTGTGCAAAAGGATATCTGTACTTTATCTAAATCCATTCCTGTTGTTTCATGTTAAAGAGCAGCTTTGATTTGATAGACTGTGTCAAATCCTTCAGGTGATTTGTGGAAATATTAAAGGGCCAAATTTCCATTAGGAATAATGAAAAAGAGTGAAATCTTTTAGACATGATTTTCACTGTCCTCATTGATGCCAGAACAAATGTTAGTAGTAAATGACTCTCAAGACATTTGAGGCTGGCCTTCAAATGCACATTTAAAAAACTGACACTTCAACTTTTATTAAGAGAACAGAATTTATTTAGCCCCTGTGATTGTAATAATTTGAGGATTCGTATATTATAACCAGCAAGGGCTTAATTAAAACACTTCTACTTTAATGCAGTGAGAGGATTCAATTGATTTGCAGCCACAAGATGTTAGCTCATAGTAAGCATAGTTCTCATTTAGAACGGCAGTTTTTTTGTTTCTTCAAACCTCAGATTAGCTATCTGTGTGGTACCTTTCTGTGGTATGTGAGCATTTAAGCTAATGATTTCAAGAGAGGTAGGAATGATAAAGTTCAAGAAAATTGTAAAAACAAGGCAGATAACTTGGACTCTTTTCCAGAGTCAGAGGCTTTGTACTTCCAAGTCACATGGAGAATTTATAGCATTCCTCTTTCTTCCAAATGCAGCTAAGAACTTGGGAGATTGTTGAGAAGCATTTTCTAGGAGTTGGTTTGAGAAAGAAGATAATTTCTGTGCCTTTTATGATTCATGGTTAATAGTACACAAGGGCTATATATTTGAAAAAACAAGAAAGGATAATTCCTCTTATTTTTAAAGGCAGTGACCAAAGTGGGACTGGATATTCTTCATGTACTCTTGCCCATTGTTCTACCAATATTTCCTACTTTCATTAAAAGGAGGGGAATACATCTTATTTTCACCCAACATGTAGAGAAGCAGCAACATTGAGATAAGGGGAGAAGAAAAACTGGGAAAATGAAAGAAAGCAAAACAGATTACCCAAAGGACAGGTTTCTGATGGCAAAATGAGAGTCAAGGAACAATCCATAAAGAAAGAAAGACTTCTCTTTAACCTTGTGCCTCTTTGCAAGTTGAAATTAGCTAAAATATATACTAAATGAGTTGCAAGTTTTTGGAGATGAAAATCCAGAAAAAGGAGACAGAAAAATAATGGCCTGTTTAATATTGTTAGAAGTTGACTGCTGACATGCAAATTGAATAGAAGTGGTCATATGGCAAGGATTCCTGAAATCTCTCAAAAACAAAATTGATTATTGTATCCTGTATTTGGAAATAGAAATTACAACATAGTAAAGTAACTCTTATGTGAAGATATTAAAAATCCAATGTCAACTGATTTGCAGTCATGTTCAGTGTAGCCTATAACAGGAAATGCATTATTAAGAACTGATAATACTCTATAATATATATTTTCTGACTATATTTTACACATTAGTTATAAAAGGTAACAAAAACAGGGACCTTGCCAGATCAAAATTCATCAATAGATCTTCTCAGAAGTGTAGTATATAGTTTATTTCCATCACCAACAGAATAAATAATGGTATGGAGAACAAAAATTCCTTGATACTGCTTTGTTGTACACTCTGATAATATTCTGTTCATGTTTTTGGAGTGCTTTTAGAGAAAAGAGGAAACCTAAATAATGAGAAATCTTAAGGGTAGCAGGATAGCATTGAATTTTGCCTTGGTGGGGATTACTTTAAATGGGACAGATAGCAAATTTCTGCCCTGCAAGGCCTTGGAGAATAATGCAGCTATTCCTCAACTTATCACCCAATTGAGCCCAAAATTTCCATTGCTAAGCAAGACTTAAAGTACATTTTACCCTATTTATGAGCTTTTTTGCCACAGTTGTTAAGAATGAATTGCTGCAGTTGTTGTTAAGTGACTGCTTGTCAGAAGGTTGATGACACTGCAGCCATCATAAATATAATGCCAGTCACATGACCATGGAGACACTATAACAGTCATAAGCGTGAAAAACAATCATAAGACCCTTTTCTCAGTGCTGTTGTAACCAAATGGTCGCTAAACAATGGTTATAAGTTGAGGGCTACCTGTAACTAATTGCATGTATGTTTAATGCTTACAGCATAAGATGCTTTTTTTCCTTCAGTTTGCACATAACTCTTTATTAGAAAAAAAACCCTTTCTGATGAAATGGTTGCCTAAACTATTAGTGTCCTGAAAATGGGCCCTTTAGAGAAATTTTGTGATAGACTTTCATGTGAATGTAGCTGCACGAATGACTAGACAGCAAGTTTGAAGATGTTTATGTTTGTAGTATGTGCTTCAGCATAAAACTATTCAACTACAGTTGTGGCTGATTGAGGTCATACATAGAATATTAAAAAATGGTAAAAAAAGTCAGATTTCTCTGTGGCTTCTCTGTGACTTTCTGCCTCTTTCTGTCTCTCTCATACACACACATGAATAGCTAAATTTCAAAGGTGAGTTAGTGAACACGAATGTTTTTATGATTTCTGGTTTTCTCATATTGTTTAGCTATAGATATGTTCAAATGCCAATAAAATATGAAGTTATGTCCCAGTCTAGTTGTACCTAGATATTATATAAGTAACCTCCTTACAGCAGTTCACTGCCAGTGGTATGGGGTGTTATTTCCCTTCCAGGTTCATCTTCTCTTGCTAGAGCCAGTACTAGGGATAAAGGTTACAGCTATGTGCTATAATTGCAAAAGGCCAATGATGTTTGAATATGTAAGATTTTTTTAAAATTTTCTTCTCAGTGCACACTGGTGTGTTTGGGCATTTGTTTTGCTATTGTTTTTAATGATTGATGTACAATATGTCAACAAAAAATTTTATTGAATTTTTTTACAAAAAATGTTTTCTTCACCTTTATGGAACTTGTACACTTTCAATAAATACTTCAACAAAATTATGTATTGCTTGGTTTTTTCCTCTGTTTGTTTATAACATAACACAACATAAATCTGATTTCGCTTACTAGAAGGTTTAAAACAACTGAAAAACTGAGGGATATATGTCTAATTGCCTTATCCCCACGGAAACACTGGTGTAAAATTGTTTATTTTAAAAATCAGTTAATAAGGTAATATTTAAAAATTTTCAGAAGTTACATTGTATTGTTTGTCATGGAATTAAGTGAGCTGAATTCATGCTCTCCCTGATGAAAACCGTGAACAGCCTTCTCTGAATTCAGATTTGTTTGCTTTGAAGATGAAATATAAAGAATGCAGAATGTATGTATGCTAGCTCCATATTGCTAAAATGTTCCTGTCTGTCTGTAACCTTCACTTGGACAAAACAGTGCATCACATGGCAACAGTTTTTGAATCAACATGCCTTTAAATGGACTAACTTAAAGAATGAGTCTGAAATCCAGGACCCATTAATCCTATGGGATTGAAATTTGGCAAAGTTGTGGCCACTTCAGCACTGTCACACTGCCACAGTCAGGTCATTATTTCCAATACTCCTTGCTGGCTTCCTACAACGAAAATCAATGGGCAAGCCAGCAGGAATCCAGAAGTTCTGCTTTTTTCCCCTGTCTATGGTCATTCTGTTTCTCTTTTTAGGTAAGGAAGTATGTCTGAAATGACCCAACAAATCACTGGTTCTGTAGTAATTTATAAATATTAAAACGTGAAAGGAATTGTAGTTATTTCTGTTTTCAGTTGCTGAAAATATTGAATATATATAAATATATTGAATATATTGAATATTGTTGGTTCTTAGAATTAAAAAAAATCTTTTAATTTGTTTCTTCCTAAAATGTAGTAAAACATCAATTCTTTTAAAATATGTTTGTTAGATAGATACAGAATAGAATTCTTTATTGTCCAAGTGTGATTGGACACACAAGGAATTTGTCTTGGTGCAAATGGTTTCAGTGTACATAAAAGAAAATATATATTCATCAAGAGTCAAGAATCATAAGGTACAACATTTAATAATAGTCATAGACTACAATAAGCAATCAAATCATACTAGGAAACAGTCAATATAAATCCTAAGGATACAAGCAACAAAGTTACAGTCATACAGTCACAAGTGGGAGGGGATGGGTGATAAGGAGTGAGAAAATTAATAGTACTAGTGCAGACAAACTATTTGGACAGTGTTGAGGGAATTATTTGTTTAGCAGAGTGATGGTGTTTCGGGAAAAATTTGTATCTAGTCGTTCTGGTGTGCAGTGCTCTATAGCGTCATTTTGAGGGTAGGAGCTGGAACAGTTTATGTGTGGGATGTGAGGGATCTGTAAATATTTTCACAGCCCTCTTTTGACTTGTGCAGTACATAGGTCCTCAATTAACAGCGGGTTGGTAGTAATTGTTTTTCTGCAATCCTAATTATCCTCTGAAGTCTGTCTGTCTTGATGGATTGCAGAACCAAACCAGACAGTTATAGAGGTGCAGATGACAGACTAAATAATTCCTCTGTAGAACTGTATCATGTAATTGTATGTTAGAAAGCATATGCTAAATTAAGCTATAGATTTCCAATGTGATCATGATTATAGTAACAGCAGAAAGACTAAAAATGCAGAGATGGCTTGTATTTTCAAGTGGATTTAGTTTACAACATGACAGATACTTATTGTTACAGATAACTAACAAGGTAATAATGTTTATCAGTAAATAGCTTGTTCTTAGGGATGGCACCACAGCCAGGAAGCAAATCAAATAGTTAGATTTTAAAGAGAAAACCCTACATAACCTCTGACATGAAATCCAGGTTAAATGTTTAAGCACAAGAAAATGTATTTCTCAAATGGTACTGGAAGGACTACTGAAGCTTCAAATATTGCTGTGTCCATCAGACTCTACTTCATCTTTAATACCTTTAAAGGGAAAAAGTTGAAAAATCATCTTTGAAGTATCTGCATTGCCTTGCATTATCTATAGTGCATTCAGAAAGTATTCTCACTTTTGTCGCTTGCTAATTTTGCTATTCTGAGTGTAGATTATTGTATGTGAGCATGTTCCTTAGACTAGGTAATTCCTAAATCAATTTTTGAAAAATAAAAATGGCTCCCCACCAATGTTTTGTTTAGGTAAGGAACGTTCTCTCCTGAGCTGTTCAGAGCATCCAGTAGTGGGAGGTGCTTCAGTCTCCTCTTGGATAGGCTGGGCTTATTTTGCAGGACACTCCTCCTCCTCCACGGGACTCCTCAGCATCCCCCAGTTTTAGCTCAGCCTTCGTTGAGATAGAGAGCTTTCCAGATTGGCCGGAATAGCAGCTAAAACTGAAAGAGAACAAAACATCAGGTTGGCTTTTTCACTAAATTAAGGGACCCCTTTCTTGTCATCTAGGAGTCCCAATAGCCTACTACAGTCTCTTTAAACTCTGACCATTGAGGCTAGCAGTGCTTTTCTAGGAGGAATAAACTTCCAAGGAGACCGAATTAGCAATTCAAAGCCTCTACAGCCTCCAGCGTTTTCCCTCAAGATTAGCAATTCAAAGCCTCTACAGCCTCCAATGTTTTCTCTCAAAATTGAGCGTTGGGGCTCGCTTCCTCTTTAGGAAAAGCCATTGTAGCAGCAGTTCAAATGTATTTTACAGCCGCTTAATTTCCCATTCTGAACAGCGAGCTCGCCTCGTGTTCAGCTCTTAAACAGCTGAGGCTCTTCCCCTGTACAACACTGAAGGGGATTGGAAGTATAAGTGCTTCTTATCTTTTCCCTCATAGTCTCTTTTCACTGTTCAGAACAGCGATTCAGGCAGGAAGTAGCTGCTGGACTCTCAAGGCCACACCAAGCAGTGGTGCCCATTCACCATATTAAAAAAAACTGTGAGAGGATTATTGTTCCCTATTGGGTTCCCCTTGTAGAGACCAGGGGATTGGCTTCCCTGCTCCCGAAGCATCAGAGCAGCGGCCCTAATTTGTTGGCTAGCCTCACAAAATATAAGTCCAGCGGCTTCACAGTGGGCACCAAGGCCAAAGTCCACCTGTGCAGAGCAGCTGTCACAGGCCATTGTTACCATTCAGTTCTGGCCTGAAGAGGTGTTGATAATTATATTCTAATTGATTGGATTGGAGATCAATTCTACAAATACCAAATTTGAAGGGGGATTACAAGAAGTTTATAAGGATATCCTGCACCTTCAGGAGCAGGCCCCTGGGTGTGCCAACCACCCTATATTTTAAAGCCTCATTGACAAATTTATAGTGGAAATGGAAAGTGCAAAGGGTCAAAGACCTTTACCTCCAGAACAATGACCAGGGCCTTGGGCAAATCCAAAGCTTCCAAGAGGCCTTCAAAGGCTGAGGAGGAGGACGCCCATAGACGCCATGAGGCTATAGAGAAACAAATGAACAAGCATAGACAGACTGGACTTCACCAGCCACATCTTCCACTTGCAACATCCAGGCCCATGTACACCTGCCTCCTCCCCTGGATCTTTCCCTTCCATCCAGACAGAGCTCTGCCAAGCAGCCTCCACCTGGTACCTCATCCACAGCAGCCACACCACAGTGGGCCACTGCAGCCACATTTACTCCAACAGTGGCCGGCCTACACCAAGATGATTCCCTCCCTGAGGATGTGCCACCCGGGATGAGGGCATGGATGGAACTAGTGATAAGACAGGGGATTGCAGCTGGTGTTCAGCAGTCAGTATGGGCCAGAAGACAGTCCACTATCTCAGAATGCTAATCTCATTCAGGCAGGCCACTCATCAAGATGGACCCACAAATTCCTCAGGTACATCCCTAAGGGGAATTTTCTACCTTTCTCGACATGCCTCCCCAAGGGTTTCAGGGAGAGGGGAATCAAGTACAACAGATGGACCACCTAGAAACCAAATTCACAGGAGGAGGCAGACGACTTAATTTTTTTCTCAGCCGGTAAATGAGGCTGATGTAATACCAGTCCCACAGATGTTTTCCGATTTAGTGCAGAAACAGTGGGCTTCCACAGCAGTGATCCTATGGGATTTGACTGGAAATTATATAACCTTGCCCCTGAGTTTTCCAATTTCCTAAACACACCCTTCAGTTGATGATCTGATCGTGGCTTTGACTTCCCCCTCCGCTATCCCTAGTGAATTGGAGGAGGCCCTTAAGCCGGAGGATAAGAGGGTAGAACTAGCTCTTCGTAGGGCTCATCAATGTGAAACATGGGTTATAAGAGCGACCACAGCCACATCTTTTTTCACACGGTCTTCCCTTTGCCACCTGTGGGAAACCATCCCATCCTTCAATATACAGGTGCACCAGGACATTGCCAAACTTGTTGCTGCGGTGAAATTTTCAGTGGATGCAACCTTTAATGTGGTAAAGTTTTCTTCTAGAGCCATCGCATCTCAAGTATCAGCAAGGTGACTACTTTGGCTCAAGCATTGGCAAGCTGACACCAAGAACAAGTGGAAGCTTGCCTCAGCGCATATTTCGGGTGAAACGTTGTTTGGCAATGCCCTGGATCTGCTCCTTATAGAAACAAGGAACAAAAAAAGAATCCTTCCTCCCCTTTTTCAGAAGTCAGATTCCAAGAGATCCCAGCCATTTCAGAAGGGCTCCTTTCGTTCCTTTTATCAGGGACCCTTCTCCTTGAGGTTTCAAAGGTCCCCCGGATTTTGGCAGGGACAGCAATCAGAGAGGTCTGAATTTGGGGACAGGAATAGAAGGAGAGGACAATCCAAGAGACAGTTTAGGGGAGCAGGAACCAGGGGTTTCCGATGCCCCAAATAACTCTTACCTAGATGCCCCCATTGGCGGGAGGCTAACGTTTTTTGCTGATCAGTGGGATGCCTCGACATCTGATGCTTGGGTCAGGGACATGATTAGATCTGGAGTGGCTCTGGAGTTTCACTCCACCCCTCCAAACTTTTTTATGAGATGCCCAAGGTATAGGGACCCTGAGAAAAGATCTCTTATGCAAACTGCTATCAACCACCTATTGG